GAAGTAAACAGTCACATTCTTTTTGAATAAGGGTCTTTTGCACATACTTCGGTAATCCCAGCTCAAACATTATACACTGAATTAAATGTCCCTATGATAATAGAAACATTCTCACTCTCTTACTCCAGCTGAACTGGTAGCTTTTTTTTTTTTTTACAAAACTATTCATCTTTACAGACACCCAAACAGTAATTTTCTTTGTTAATGGGTAATCATTAAAATAATCCAAAAATAGTAATACAATCACCTTTAATTTTAGATCAAATGCATGCAATGTGTTTGTAAAAAAGTATTTTCACAGAAGATTTCACAGAGGAGCACCAAAACACTCTCCCGATTTTTGTTGTTAAAGAGGCAACTCTGTTGCAAAAGTGCTAACCAAACAGCAGTCAAAGAACCCCAAGCGACCGCTTGGTTTATCTGATTAAATAAAACAACACAACACAACACACTTGCAAAATATGAAACCGGTTGCCACTGCAAACCTCTTTATGACTTCATACAGCTGTAGATAGAAGTAAGGTTTTACCCACCTGGGATCTTTCTGAATGCTATCAATTGAAGGTGACCTAGCCAAGGTTCCCTCAGGTGGGATGGCTGGTCCAGATTTGCTGTATGGTGATTCAACAGAAGGACAATACTGCAGCTGTCGGTAGGGGTCTGCGTAATTGGAGGCTGGGCCGGCTGCATAGCTGGCCCTCTGGAAGGTCGCTGTTGCGTTCTGTGAGCCGTGTTGACTGCCTGTGCGCTGTAAGGGTACGGAGTCGACACCAGGGGAAGATGGGGCTACGACAGGAAAGTAGGGACAAAGTAAAAAATTGAGGACCTGTTCACAGAAATGGTTAACCAGGTCTAGGCAGAGGAAAAAAATACACACATATAAACAGGGGTTTGAAAAGAACGAGAAAAAAAGAACACTGTCATTCCTGAAATCATCATGAAACACAGTTCAAATGAAAAGCTTTAAATGAAGCATCACATCTATTAGCCAGAAGATTAACTGCTTCATAGCATGTTCAAGAATACTAGCCATAGGTAAATACGTACACAAACAAAACCCCTAGGCATCAAAGTGCTTACTTTATCAGTTGCCAAACTTGGAAACACTTAAAAAAAAGGCAAAACTGCTACCTAGGAACTGTAGTCCCATGCAGATCACCTGCCACGTTCTTCTTCATGCTAAGATTACACAGGAATAATGAAGACAATGCATATAAATTGCATTAACAGTGTTTTTCCATATCAAACCTTCAAATGTCCCAACACTGTATTCAGATTATCTGCCTGCATTAGAAGTGGAACATAACCCATTGGTTATTAATTAATAGCCACAATGTAATCAAGGAGCTGCTTTATTTTTCAAATTAGTGAAATAACACTCAGTCTTTTATTACACTCATTTTCCAAGTGAAGATGTTTGAGGCAAGATCCGAAATTTATTCAAAATACGGGCCAAATCCTAGGAGTTTCTTTTCTGTCTATAGTGGTCAGATTTTTTGTCACTACAGTACGATCGCGTCTTATGCGCCATTAACTAGTGCAAGTTCAACCTTGCATGGTTGAAAGCTGGCAAGCTGAAACTGCAGATTAATGAATGCAGGGAGGAGACAATAGAAGCTATTTTTGCACTTGGTGCAAGCTCTCTCCCTTGCTTACTGGGCAAGTCCCTCTTCAGAGTGCAGACTCCGGGATGCTCTCCCAAGATCTTGTGGGAACTTGGATGGTCCCAAAAGATCTCATAAGAGCACTTCAAAGCCTGCACACTGAAAGGGACCCGCTTGGTGTTTTTGCATGTATGTGCCATGCCTGGACTGTAAACTCCATGCAAAATGCAATTGTACTTTATAGAGTAACAACATTTGTGATTAAAAAAGGTCATCGTTGACAGAAAAAAGCCCAATTATATTGGTTCTCGGTGGGTTTGATAATGGTGGTCTTAAAATAACAGGCTAGCATACATTCTGTACTGTTTAAATCTTCTTAAACTTTTTTGAAAACTGCAGTTAACCAAGACTGAAATTCTGTGCGTTCTGACTTAAAAAAAAAAATCCCATTCAATGCATGATGCTTATTTCAAAGGAAATATTCACAGGATTGTAGTTCTTGCCACTCACCCTGCCACTGACCTACCACTGCACAACAAGGTCTCCAGGCCAAACCACAAGTACAACAAAGGGGAGGGGAGGGAAAGAATGAAGTCTGATCAAATATCTTAGAGGTTTCCCAGTAGTTTCCTCCCTTCTGTTCATATTAACCTTACAAACAGACTGAACCTTTGGCGAAGGACCCAGGATTAGGAACCCAAGTCCCTGACAAATGCAAACTGTAAGGAAATGAGGCCGTTGGTTTGGAAGGATGAAGGAAGGCTGATTACACCTTTCCCTGCCAAACACCTTTCCCTTAAACTCACCTCCTTCAGCAACTTTTCTTCCAACAGAGAAGTGTTGCTGGCAGTAGAGAGGAAAAACAGTTGGGGAGCAAGCATACAAGGGAGATGCAGCAAGCAAGGAAAGTTAAGGTTTTTTTTTACTTCTGCCCTCCTCACCAATTATTTTTAAATATTCAGCAGCGATTCAGGTCCACTGAACTAGTTTTGCCCTCAGTGAATAGTCATCCCAAATTAGGAAATAAAGGTAACATCGATGGGTTTTTTTCTTCTTTCCGAGTTACAGAGAAAATCATATGACTTTATGACCTTCAAACTGGCACAACTTCCATTTTATTAGGACAAATATTTCATAATTACAAGGTAAGTAAAATGGGTAAGCAAAAGTAAACGTATTTTCTTGTTTCTGTCAGCATCAACAGAACATTGGGGTTGACATTTCTCATTGTTCAACTTTATAACTGTGTTTGCCATTTCTCTTGAAAATATGCATTTAGGAGATGCATATCAATCCAATCAAATGACAACTGCTATTTCATTAAAGAGCTGGAATGGACTGAGAGAGGTTTATACCAAGCACTAAAATAATTTACAAGTACACTTCATGTCAATGTTTCCTGAATATTCCATGTGACTTTTAGAAATACCATATACCAATTAGGATTCAAGCACATTTTAAACATCTTCACCTTGAAATTAAGAACAGCATTTCAATCTATTCTAGTTTGGATTTGATATTCCTTTTCTTCATGCAATTTTCATTTGGGTGTATATGGAACAGCAAGCTGAACTACAGAATGTAGTTGTTAATTATGACAATGGTTATGATGGTGCAGTACCGAAAATTTGTTGGTTAGTAGACATTCAAAAAGAATGCAATGATGTAAAGTAATATTACACTAACACTAACAGCAGCCTTTTGTACCTCTCCTCCCCTTTCAACAGTTCTACGTTTTGGCTCGTATTTCAATTATTTTCACATTTACTGTAAGCTGTAAGAATTTTATGTTTCAGGCAATATACAAATGTCATTAAGAAATAAAAAAATAATGTAAATAACTGGCGATCCATGACTATCATTAGAGCAGCAAAGTTGGACCACCCACCCACAGAGATTTCTGCACTAGGGTAGTCTACAGGTACGCTAAAAATTATGTGTTTGCAAACACACACACACACACACACACACACACACACAGTTTGACAAGTCCTTCGCCAACTGTGAATCATAGCTGAACATCAGCTGGGGAGAAGAGAAAAGTGGGGGGGGGGAATGGAGAAAGGGACAGCACTGGTCAAAACCCTAGTAACCAACAGTATTGGGGAGAGGCGACTTGGGTTGTGGGGTGTCTGCTATGAAGCTAAAAGAGCCTGGGGGAGAGGGCTTGGATAGGAAGGAAAGACTGATTACCCCTTCTTTGTGGAGGGGACAGTTGTGGCCCGGTCCATCTCCCTGGACAGAGGATAAGGCAGACCCCGCCTCCTTCGTGGCTGGCCATGTAGAATGACAGGATACCCCACCTAAACTCTGAATGCAAATTAGCCAATGAGGGCCTCTCTGAGAGGCAGGGTTTCAGCAGCAGACCAGAAGGAGCAAGACTTCATTCTGGTCTGCCTTTGGGATAGTTAAACTGGCTGTGCAGGGCGCCAGCAATGCGGTCAGTGGGAGATCAGCTCTGCCTGCCCACCCTATACATGGGCTTTGCTCTTGAGCTCAGGGGGCACTGTATCTTGAAAACCCTGCTGTGGGGATAATCGGTCACCAAGAAGGAATTTGCCTGCAAACAAACTGAGCTCATTAAAACTCCCTAGGACTCTTTCATCTGCAGAGGGAACCTAGCTCGTAAAAGCTTGAAATTTAAAATTAAGAGTCTCATGCTCCAAAGACTGAGCTATTGTGCCATTATGAATGGCCTCTGTGCCTACTTTGCCTACATTTAAGCATTAATTAAATTTGAAGACTATCCTTTGCCATTTTGATGCAATTGTTCATTTGATAAAATTTCTAGCCCACCCTTCATAGTTACTGATCCTGGGGTAGCTTACAATAACCTAAACCTCAAAACAGCAACACTCATCAAATTCCTTTTTCAGAACAAATAGGAACAGATTTTAAGGATACCATAATTAAAACAGCAATTATTCAACAATCGCTAAAACTATATTTGACACCACAGAGGCCAGCTTCTTCTTATATGTGGCTGACTAAATCAACATTCAACAGATGTTTCAGAGAACAATTATGTTTTACGTTAGCACTGAAAATGAACGAGTGCCAGCTATACCTCAGAGGTACAGTATTTCCTTCTACACCCATGTGTATGTACACCTGTCAGCTTCAAACTTCTTGCAAAGTTAATTCTAATCCACAGAAGCTTATGTTACAAAAAAATCTGTTAAGTCTTTAAAGGACTAAAAGATTCTTCATTGTTTCTTTGACTCACATTAGCAAACTACATTCAACAGCCTATGGGACAAAATTTGAACCATTACACAAACTGTCAAGTAGCTTTTATAGGAGAAACAATAATATTTTAGCACCTGGATTCATTGGAAAATATAGTAAATGTAGAAATTAGTCAACAGGTTTAAAGCTCTAAGTACATGTATCATGGAGCGGGGAGATCTCCATTAATGCATTAATACGCATTAGATTGTGTGTGCCACCACACAATCTAATGAGAGTAACAAACTTTATTTCTTAACATTTTAAAATTTGGCAAAGGGATATGAAATCCGCCATGTTGTAGCAGCAGCAGCCATAAGTATGAAGTGGGTGGAAACATTGTTCTGGCAGGAGTTGCGTGCTCCTCTCCTTATAGCAACCAGACATTTAGCTAGACTACAGCTGTGTTCACACTCAGGTTTACTCACTGCTTTTCCAGTGCTGGGCTTTTAATCTGTGTGTTGACACTGCATTATCCAAAATGTGCATGCATTCTGTAATTTGTTATAAGATGCTATTGTTTGATGCACTGTTTCACATAGCTGTGGAGTCCTTAAGCCATTCTTAATGTGGAACTAGCCAAGGGGTGAACACCTTTGCTTAGGGTAAAGACACCCACACCCACACCCTAAATGCCTCCTGGTTTGTACACATAGAGAAAGAAATGAGGGCACATGGGAAAAGAATCAGCTTCACTGCTCTCTAAAGGCAGCAATGTGAACCCACCCTTAAAGAAAGGAAGCTGAATTTACTTTTATGATTATCTTTGTAGGCCAGCTAAGTGGATAAAAGATGCATGCCGTCTTTTTAAGACACACTAGGATGCACACAAAATCAAGTTTTAATTAAATGCGCTAATAAAACAAAAGCTGCAGAACAGACTATAACACCTACACAATTCCCACAAGTTGTGGAAATTACGGTAAACGGTGGCATTTAAAACTTCAAAAACCT